CTTTTCACAACTAGTTTAAAACTTACAGCAGGGGACGGCAACCTACGGCTCGTGGGCCGGATCCCGCGACGCTTCACTGAATTATAGTAACAAAACAGCTGTTTTGACGACTTTATTCTTTACGGAACAAAATTCATTTTGAGACACGTGTAGACTAAATTATATTATAACCTAACAAATATATAATTCACAATTACGAGTTTAATTAATTTAATTATATTTAGACAAATGGCAGCAAAACGCAGAAAAGTTGATGCTGAGTGCAAATGGTTTATTGGCGCAGAAAATATTCAAATGGTCAGTTTTCGCGCGATGCTTAAAATTTAACTTCTGATCTGTGTGAAAAAGTGTGATTCATCGCTCATCCGTTCGGTTTTCAACTTTCCAAACATATGTGCGTCCCTCCAATGACTTGCAACCTCAAATATGAATATAATACTATTTCCTATACTTTATCTGTTCGCATTATGTTAATATCTCCATTGTATGTAGCTTTTTCGCGCCATGAGGTGGCGTAAGCCTGTTTGAGTTCGTTTCTACAGATGAATGCGAATGTAAAGAATATTTGGGCATAGTTAGGATTCCGCACGACCTATACATCTACGTGCGTTCATCTATACGGCCTATAACAGTATTACTATAATAATTTATTTACCCGATCTTTTCAACTACATATTACAACATTGGGTCCCTGCTCGATAACCAGATTTGGTTCCCCGCGGTTTCCCTTTTAAAGTAAAATTGTATGATTACATCTTTTTTGAATATAGTCCGTGATTGCTTTGTACTGGTTAAATAAAATAAAATTGACTTGACTTGCTATTTTATATATTTGACCTTCACGAGGGAGATTCTTGCAAATGCACGTGAATCTTACTTTTTTTGTGATAGCAATGGGAAATGTAAACAAATCATTAATTGCTTCAATCAATCGACAGTTTGTTTTGAATTAATCAAGTAGCGTTGGATTTTTATTACCAAGTACGGCCCATATATAAAGAGATTAATTTGGAAACGGCCCATGTATGATTCAGTGAAAAGATTTGATTGTTTATAAAATAAGCTTCTCTGTCCCTTCAACGCAAAGTGAGACGTTAGAATGGTTCTGTGGTGGATCCTTGCCGCATATGAGCGCGCATTCTGATATTATACTTTTGTTGTATCGCGCTTTTAGGAAGTTTGGTTAGTTATGAGTCAGGGTAATGCGAGACTACTTTCCTACCTTTACTTTTGTGCTGTTGAATCCGTAGGCCGTGTAACGCATGGGTGCTATAACATGAGTTAGAGCTATAATATAGGAGTAACGATGACTATTCTATGTGATATTTAGGCGTTTAACGTTTCGTTAACTCTTATCGCATATTCAGAAGTATTTCTGAAATTTCTTGTCGATTTGTGTGGTGTTGAACAGCGGAAACTTTTGCGTTGTATATTGCTGTATAAACTGATATTTAGAATTTGATACCAACGCCTTTAAATGTACGTTGTGAGTCATCGCAGAATAGCACAGGCCATGTCTTGAATCGATTCCAGTTTGCTTCTAGAATGCGGCGGCTGTTTTGGTTTAGTGGGTGTTAGTGGTCTAGTATCATTATCAAATTTGGAATTTTTTTTTTTCAATTTCGAATCCTAAGCACATATTATGGTTCTCTTTCAACATATTTGCCAACATTTTGCGATTTAATTGAGGAGCTTTGTCTTCATTTGTCCAGTAGTAATCAGGTGCTGAATGATGTTTTTATTTTAGTCAGTTATCGAAAAAGCTTTCACAGCAGTCTAGGCCAGGGGTGCGCAACCCTCAACACAGGAGGGCTAGATACAAATAACTGAGTGAAACGACGGGCTGCACCTTTCTTCAACATCGACTTTCTTGTAGTTGCGGTCTGCGGACACATGTATTTTGGTTATTCATCCTATGAAATACGTTGTTCGCTTTGCATAAGATTTGACTTATTTGCACGTTCCAGATTGAAGTAAATTAAAAACTCGTTTCATAGGCAGCACACCATTCAAAATTGGCACTTCTTCGCGGGAAGCACAATTCCCTTTGCTGGCCGCAACTTCTGTCTTTCCGCACACCCCTGGTCTAGGCCTCGCTCAAATAGCAACTTACTATGTATCATAGAAAATTATTTTGGTAGTAGACAATCGTACATTTTAGGAGGCGCGATGTAGACTTGTATATTGTTTTTAGGGCTCAAATGTTGGGGTGATATTTAGATATCGCTGTTCCTCTTTTTGACCCGTTCCCTCTGTTGGCCGGAGGGGACATATGTTGAACAAGAGCATTGTTAATTATCAAGTACCACGATATACCACCGTCAATCCTAATTAGTAATACACATTCGACTTGCCATATGGTGGTGAATGTATAAATCTGAACAGCTCCATGTCATGAATCATCCGAAGCTGAAGAGAGTTAACTATTGTTGTTCTTGGGCAATATTTATAAAAATTTGTTTGCATGCGGAACAACTAGCTGGAACAACCCCATTTGGTTGAGCTAAATCTGTAGCTATTCACATCTAATTTGAAGTTGTGGCATCTTTTTCGAATTTCCGCCCAGTGTGGTTGGTTGTCTTGGGAATTATACTTTTTGTATATGTTATACTATTGCCAGACGAAACGGCACGAAATAAAGACCTTGATAATACCATTCTCTTAACAGATAATAATTAAATTAGTAATTGCTAATATAAAATTAAACTGTCTTTACATGTTGCATCGCCTTTTGATCAATTACGAAATCAAAACTTTGCGAGTATTTAAAATTAGCGCGAGGCCTATGGAGCGGGAGCATAGGTGGCTTAATATTAAGTGCAGTGGCTTAAGGGGATAGAATGAACAGGGGTGGGCAAGGTTTTTAAACCAGGGGCCAAAAAATTTGCCCACCTTCACTGGCGGGCCATTTAAGTGTGACGTAAAATATTACATTTTATGTACAATATTTACAGTGTTACAGAAGCAAAAGTAAAAAAGAATAGGCCTCGTGCCAATACTCAATTTAATCGCAATCTCAACAAATTCCTTGAATACTTTTTTAACTAAAATATCAAAATTTGGTTTTAGTTTGGTTGTGGTAGAATCAGCCGGGCCGGATTAAATTGCCCAGCAGGCTGAATTTGGTCCTCGGGCTGTAGTTTGCCCATGTCTGGCTGGTCGTTAGTGGTAAGACATTTTAGAATTTCAGAAGATCTTGAGTTGATTGTGTGAATGACCTCGACTCCGATAACCTTTCTCAAACTTCCGGATTTTCTGATGTTATCCACCAATAATATTTTTGATTGAAAACGTCTGTGATTGATGTGATATTGCTGACGCTATAATGCAATATACTCGCGTCATCATTTGTCAATTATGTGCGAAAAGTGTAGCTGTCATATTTCGAAATGAATTGAAGTCTAAACGTGTTTCAACTTCGCTATATATAAATTAGGTTTCTCTATGGGTGTCACTTTTGTTACAACATGACTGTTGCAGTATGTGGCATGTATTGGAATAATATATCTAGGATAGTTGGGTATTGCTCGTTCGGTTAAGAAAAAAATCGTCGTCTTTAGCGGTGGTTGAAACGGTTGAGCTCCATTATTCACTCTGGCGCTGGTTTGCAGAATTAAACGTCTGGTTGTTTTTGGTTTGGTTGATGTGAAATTTTACCTTAAATGCAGTAATTATTTAAAAAGTTCGTTGGAACATACTTGAGCAAAAGAAAGGGTTCAGGGTGATATTTTTATTGTGAATATTTTTCATATCAGGTGTTTAATTACTAATGTTCTGGGTTTCCACTGAAGCTATGTCAACCTCGCTGAAAATTGGTGTTAGAGCGAACTAGGGAACATGAGCAATGAATTATGTACCCCGCGTTATCATGTGTTTCCTTTGCAGTCAAATAGCAACTGTATTTTATAAATTCATTCTGCTCTGCCAAACATGGTTCAATATAAGTTTGTATAAAATGCATAATCACTTTGGAATTTTAATTTCAAATGGTATTTTAGCTGAAATCATATTTGTTTGTTAGGTATCAATCGCATTCCTTTATGCAGCGAGGCATTTTTTATTATAGAACTCACCAATAATATCTACTTGCATTGGTGGTCTGTATAATGCCGGTGCTTTATAACCATAGGAGATTTAAATAAATTTGTACGATATACAATGTTCGTCTTATTACCCTTACATCCACTTACTCTCTTAAGCCCGATCAGTAAAACCAAGTGCTGTCTGACTGTTTAATGAAAAGACCGCCACGGTGATTTTAACGCGCACATGTCTGTAACCCCATGAATATTAATCAAGCGCACGATAATTAGGTGCTTTTGTCGCATAATGATCAACTCACCAGGTAACGAACATCTGTCCTTATTATCGAATAGGCAAGCTATAATACGATGAGCAAATAACGTCCAGTCTTATGTATTTTACTAGAAATGTCCCATGGCTTAATCTTGTCCAGACGGCAGCTGAGCGCAGTTAATCCAGATAATCATCGAGACAAAGCCGCATCCCTGCTGTCGTCCGTACTTGCTATAGAATACGATTTTGTGTTTTGACGTGATAGGACTGACACTATTGACACCGAACTTACTGACCTTTCGTATCAGTAGATACTTGTTCACAGTCTTATTTGTTGCGGAACAGCACATAAATCGGTCTGCCGAGGCGTTTGATCACTGCTAGAAAATCACCTGAAAGCGTTGAATTTTGTAGAAAATCTATTTGGCATTCGAGGCTTTCAGAGATTCAGTTTACATAGCGAGTGGTTGCTACCAAGATTATTCACGGTAACACACGTATAACTAGAGCTATGCAATAGGGTTCCATGTGGAAATTATAACTAGAATTGTATTCTGACTCTTTCTTACCGTTAGTTTGTTCATACTTTTTTGTACAACAGACTGTCCCGCGAGGATTTAATTGCCATGCGGAGACAAAAGGGTTAATTGACAGATAATAGATCGGTGCGTCGTCGTTGTTAAACTTTGCCTTTTTCTATTATCAAGTCTAGAATATCTTTAACCACGAACAAAGGAATAATTAAAAGAGCATTATGACCGAAGAAAATCCCCAAGTGACTATCGATTCACAAGTCACAGAGGAACCGGCAAAAGCAGATTGTGAAGTGACAGCAAAAGCAGAAGACACACCAAACGAAGTTGAAACAAAAGTGGAAGACTCTAAGACAGAGGAATCGACAGCCGAGGAGCAAACAGAAGCAAAGGCAGACGAGAAATCAAAAGAACCGCAAGAATCTATTGAACCTAAAGAAGTAGAAGAACCGCAAGGAACTACTGAACCTGAACCAGAAGAACCGCAGGAAACTACTGAACTCAAAGAAGAAGAACCGCAGGAAACTACTAAAACTACAGCAGAGGAACCCCAGGAAAGCATTACTGAAGGTTTGTTGTAGTTAACTTGTATGGTAGGGGGGGACTTTTACCTATTTTGTTATCTATCATAAGCTATTACCCGTCACTACGAAATCTAAAATTGTGATTTGCCAGCTCGGCAGTCCAAGCTCTGGTGATCTGGGTTTCTTCGCTGCGCCTACATAGTGTAATTCGGAGTCAGTAAAATTTCGCAAATAGATTCATTCAGAATACTCAAAAGCAATTTATTTCAAACTTTTCTATATTGCCGATCCCGTGTTCGGATTAATCTGTGGCCAAAGATGTTTAGCAACCTACTTGATGCAAAAAATATACATCGTGATAGTCTTGGCAAAATGTCAGATATTGATCAAAAAACTCCTAAATCCTAGTTTGGACTTTATTACACACAGACTGTTAGTGCAATGCGAATTATCTCAGTTTATAATATATAATTGATTCTGAAAAGTTTATTTTCTAGCATAAAACTTACTCCAAGGTGGCGATTTTCACCTGAAATATTGTTGGGATTGGGATTGGATAGTGTCTGTTGATTGTAGCTTGATTATACCTAGTATCTATCAAAAAAGCGTGCATCTTAGCCTTCTTAGGACAAGGATCAAAATTGGTAATTTGTGCGAATTTATTGACACATAAGAACTAAACCTGGCTAGCATTTCTAGATGGATATTGTGAATTTCTGTTCCTTAACGCTCAATCCTTCTATTGTCCAATTTCTTACAGAATGTTTTCATAGAGAAAACCGCTTATGTATATTGAAGGCAATATCAATATTTTCGTTGTCATATCTGATGGAACAACCCAAAATAATATTTAGGTATGAGTTCGAAAAATCTACGAAGTAAATTTAATAATGGCTCGGTGTGGATTCCGCCTTCTGTACGTCTGCATCATTCGCATGACATATCAATTATTTAGAGGTTTCGAGCCGATTTTTGAGCGGGGTTTTTATGCGGCCTTTTACGGAGGTCTTGCGATAAACATTTTATCAGAATGTCGGCTCTAGCGCTTCTGTAGAAGTCATGGAAAAAAGAGAAACACTAAACATGCGCCAAGCTCATCCAAAGAAAAGCCAGTACAAAAGCGTATCATCGACCCGTACGCGGTAACGAGTGTCGATAACGCGAGAGTCGATCAGTCTGGTAGTCGAAACAGCGAATGTATCTGCAGACGGGGCGTGGCTGCGAGCGATCGATTAGCTATAGGAGTCATCGAATACTTTCAACGTTTTTTGCTGTGGTCATTTTAGACTTCGAGCGCGAGATGAGGACATTCGCCTAAGTAAGGGATATTGGATTGGATGAGAAGGAATCCATAGCATAATTGCGAGGGACGAGATTATAGCGATTTGAACTAGTTGGTTAACGAAGATGTTCGTTTGAAATAGTGAACATAAAAATGTTGTAATTATGTTTGTTTTCCCCAGTACAAGGATTTAGAAGTTGGAATCGCCCACTATCGCTCACAAATACAAAATAGGAAACAATAGGGTGTTATTATTAAAATTGTTATATAGTGTTTATAACCCATACATAATGAACTATGCGTTTGCAGAAAAGCTGGTTAAAATGGTCATCCGAATATTAAAAATGCCTTCTGTTCGTGCCCTATTTTAGTATATTCAACCTTCTTCACCCGGATTTGTGGGTTCGAATTATTACTCGAAATGAAACAACGTCCACCAACTTGAGTTTCACTACAAAACGGCGAAAACACATGCACGTTCCAGGATATTGTTTGAATATTTCTGAGAAAATGTTCGTTCCCACCTCCCACACTTATTGCGAAACATTCTTTCTATCTGACTAGACCTACATTGTTGTTGTTATGAAATTCCACCCATAGCAACCGGATTATTGACATTCTTGTTCTATCAGTTGTTTTGCAGTAATGCAAATTCCTTTGGCATTGTTGTATCATATTTTAATCTCGTGTAATCTTATTTCCAGTGTTGAAGTATTTCGTATATATTGATTGTTACGTCAGCTGTTTTTATAGTTATTTGAATATTTCATCACAGAAGCACCTGCTCAAGCACAAACAGACGAAATGCCTGAAGAACAAACGAAAACCGAAGGTAATTAAAATTTTCTCTATGATCGAACAATTACTTTTAGAAACCTCGATACAATGATTGATTATCGTAGATCAAAGGAAACTAATTATTACGCAACAATGGATGCGAAATTACCGATGACCTATTTAACATTAGGTCAGACTACGCAGCAATAAAAAAAAACGCTCGCTATTCGAGCCGCCGCCTGCAACATTGCATCGTGTGGTGTCTTTATCACTTACGACATTAATTACTAACGAGTAAATCGCTTCCAAAATGTATTTAAGTCTTATTTATAATGGGTCTGAAACGTTTAAAATAGAATTAGAATTATTATTAGAATTTGTCAAGTCTCGCGCCCACCTCAAAAATAACTAGCTAGCAATAAGCCACAAATAACAGATAGTATGACGAAAGTATGTTTTAGTCAAAACGTGAATATCCAAAATAAAGAAATGTAACCATCCAAAATAGGGCAGGCAAGATCAAATCTAACAAATATTTTTATTTAAATAAGCTTCACGTCCCCTCAAAAAATTGTACACGCCCGCTCTGTGGCCCAATGTCTATAAGATATTTAAGGGTTTATTTTCGCAAATAAATACAGCAAATTGTATATATTTTGTCTTACTTTAAGGAGGTTTCGTTTATTGCCAAAAGAAACATGAGGTCATGCATTCCCTCGAAGATGCATTTCATGTATTTGCGAATGACATAATTCTTTGAAAGCTATAGTCGCCAAATCGTACGTCACATAGTAACGCAATATATTAATAACACGTACGCTGAGTTTACGCAATTTCACGTAGCTCTCACGCACTGGCGCGATCAAAGAGCACGTAATCCAGATAATCAAAGTCCGAACTGAATCAATCGCTTCTAAAGCGAGAACACGAAGTTAAGTTTGCTGATTAATGTAAAACAAAAGAATGGCAATTGATAGATCATTCATTTGTCGGAGTGCAGGACCTGCCTTAACTATTGCTAGACCTTATGAGAAAGTGATTCTGCGTGCACACTAGAGATGAAAATAATATCCGGAAATATGATTGTAAGGGAAAACGAATTCGTCTCATTTTAACTATGTTTGAGAAATAAAAACGCGGGCCCTTACATGATAATAACGTACAGTGTTAATATTTACGCCCAGATTTACTGGGTGCCTATTGCGGCCGCTTAGGTTGCACAGACGGCCCGACCGAGTGTAACGAATTCCATTTGCAGTAGCAACGCTTTTAGCGAGCGATCTCTTGTTTCTTTCCAAGTTTCATTGATTGAATTTATTTCCAGAACAAGTGGAAGCCGCTCAGGTAGAAACACCAAAAGATGCGGAGACTGCTCCCGAGACTACAGAAAAACAGGAGGTGACGTCAGAACCAGCTGCTGAAGAACAAACTGAAGCCAAAGAAGAACCAAAGCAGGAAGAAGCGAAGGTTGGTCTATGTTGCTTTGTCATGATGAGGCCGTGGTGCTTGACACCAGTTGTAGAAGTAGGGTCATTTACCTAGAAGCTGTATCTGACTGATTTCCCTAAATTCATTTTGCTTTCAAATATTGCATTTGGAATTTTTTATCAGTTGGGGTTACTCAGACGGACTCCATATCCTTCTGTTATGTCTTTGCTTCAATGGGTTATTATTCATGGAATGCAAGGATGCCCCAGTATAAATAAAACGTTACAGAAATACACTTTAGGTTCATGTGAAGCAACCGTATTGAATGAATCAAATAGAATATGTCTTGAAATGAAATTTTATCAAATTCCCTAAATACTTTCATTTATCTCACGGTATTCATCGCCTTGACTCCGGCCGGGAAATTTGAAATTGTGACAAGAGATACCTCCTGGTGTCTCATATAAATATATTGGTCAATTTCAATTGGCAAAATGGCAAATTAATAAACTCGCCGATAATAACAGTAAAATTTATGAAGTTTGATTAGATATCAGGACCATGCGTATCTTATTAACAGCTTTGGTTTTCCCTCAATTTCCATTTCTCTATAAAATTGGGTTTTCAATTTTCTCTCAGTTCTACATATATAATAAATATATTTTCGACTGAAAAAAACATTTGAGAGAAGCGAACATGTGTTCAATCCCGCCACCTATTCACTGAATAATATTTCATGTCCCACCACATATAGCAGAGTCTCGTTTCATTCCAACAGGAACCTGATGCCGCAACAGAAGAAGTAAAACCAGAAGAATCAGAGAAGGAAGAAAAACCAACGGAAGAAGGCAAAGCTGAAGCGAGCGCATCAGAACCGCAAACAAGTAAAGAACAGAAAGAGGAGAAAAAGGAAGAGGTAATTTGTTGCGATTTGGCCCGAAATCTTTTACGAATTCGAAAAATAGCGTGAAATATTGATTAGTCTGATTTGAACTCGACTAAAAGTGGCGTTCCAGAAGTATGTGTACCAATATGGAGGTAACTAATTTTGTTCGCCTACTTTACATCAAGTATCAAGCAGGGGGTGTATTCACTTGGCTAACACAGACAGCCCCGAACTCGTAATAGAACTAAAATAAGAAAAATAAGAATAAAATGATGGCCTAACCTGGTACACACACTACGGGAGTACCCTATATATAGCGGGAATGTTTGATTAGTCTGATATGAATCTGACTAAACGACTCAATCATTTTATTAACTGGTTCATAACGCTGATTTTGCGTTTTTTTTTACCTCAGTACAAGTACATTCAGCTCATGGTTCAGATTTAAAAATTGTTTTGAACAGATCCAAATGATTTTTGTTAGAATGTCCGGCGACAATTTTGTGGTTTGAAGTAAAACCTTGTAAAATTGAGTCATCAGTGTGATTTGCATAATGTAGATCTGCTGATGCCGCAACATATATTTTACTCGATATTTATTTACAGGAACACAAAAAGAAAAGGAAGCGTCTGTCAAGCAAATCATTTAGAAATGTATTTTCGAAAATGTTCAGCAGAAAACCAGCAAAAGTGAAGGAAGAAGGTAAGAAATTATCCCTTTGACCATATTTATATGACAAACTGCAGTTTCTTGTAGGGGGGAAGTATTGAATTCACTCCAACATATGGTCATTGTCGGTGCTACATCATTTGGTTGATATCCCATCATCCCAACCAGGTTTCACCCACTGCGCATTTCAACCTTAGTTTTAGTTGGGTTCGAAAATGTAAACTATTTTTGCGTTTTTTTTTTGTTGACGCCAGTCTGTTTTTTCCTACTCCGGCCAAATCTTGGTTTAGACAAAAAAAAATAGCATTTGTTTTTTTCGTATTCCGGCCGATTCTTGGTTTACACCAAAAAATTTAAACTGAATAATTTATGATTTTCAATTCTCTTGTGAGACGTAAGATTGACGAAAATCGTTGACGAGGAAAGCGAGATTCATTCAAAAATTCTTGTACGTCCATGCATGAGTCATCCAGCGAACTAATCATATCAAGGTATTACAGCCTCGTGGACAATTCTTCCAGCATAAATTCTCGAGTTGCACAAAAATTGACTCTCGATTTGGTCCCGAAAGTTACCAATTTTGAGTACTTAACTGAGCGTTGTATTTAATTGGGACTAATGGTTTTTGGAAATCCGCCTCTATTTACCATAAAATATAAATGACAAAACTCTTCTACTCTTGTGCTTCGCTCGGTTAGGGAGTGAGAAATGAAGCTATTCATGATCCGAGCATAAGATCAGAGGATAGTTTGCCTTCTGGGAAATAATTCCATATCTTCTTATTCATCCCCCATATCTGCATTTCAGCAGCTGAGGGCGATTTTCCCGAAGACAAGAAAGAAAACAACGAAAAATCTGAAGAAAAGCCTGCTGAACAAGCAGAGGGGACTGGAGAGACAGCAGAAGAACCTAAAGAAAACGGAGATGCACAAGAAACCAAAGCTAATGGAGGTGGGTGTATATATGAATTGTTCATATGCTTTATATTGACAATGAAAGAGTCGATGCCCAATACATATAGAATCTGATGTATGCATGTCGCATATCGCGGAATGTTTAATTCAAAATTTGAAAACCTCGAATAAAACTCTTTATTGCAATAAAGGTCAAAAATGAATGGTCGCATTTACATGTTGTAAGATAGGTTCATTTTGTCCGGGTTCCTAACAAGCTTTAACGAAGCCGTCCTGCCCAGAAAATTCCTAACATTTCAGCCTAGCAATGTCTGGGTATCGTTATTCTGACACCGGGAGTGGACAGTGCCCGGTCGTATCTCGGAATTTTTATAAATAGATCCCACGCGGTTAATTAAAGTTCATATTCACAACTTCAAAAGATTTTTCTTAAGCCTGGACATCGTCATCTCTATCAAAATTCAGATTCTCGTAATCATGCTTGGCCTCAGATAAAACCACCAGCTGTAAATTAAACTATTGCCGGTCAATTCAGGCCAAGTCTGGACGGTAGATAAAATGGCAGCATTTTGCAACAGTGATTATAAAATGACCAGTTTAATATTTTCGCGACACTCCCGTAGTATGTGTACCAGGTTGGGTTAGGCCATAATTTTATTCAGATTTTCCTTATTTCAGTTCTATTACGAGTTACGGGGACTGTCCGTGTTAGTCAAGTAAATATACCCCCTGCCCATAGGCTTCCGTCCCTTTATACAATTTGATTTAAAGTAGGCGAACAAAATTTGTTACCTCCGTATTGGTACACACACTCCTGGAGCGTCTTTCGCGTTTGAGATTGAATAGAGAATAAAGTTATAACTGAGGAATCGCCAAAAAATCGCTTATGCATCTACTGCAGATGTGTAACTGTGTTATTTAGGCATAAGGTCTTGAGATTTTTACCTCGACGTTATTACATTACAGCCTGCTTACCAAAAACCGTTCAGATCATAAATATTTAAGTAGTTTATATTCTGTGATTGTTTGTAGATGTTCCTGCTGCTGGGGGTGAGAAAACCTCCGCTGACGTCACAGAAGAACCAGCCAAAGAGAATGGTGACGCAACAAAGGTGAATGGGGATGCAAAACCAGCTGAAGATTCACAAAAAGAAATTCCTGCAGCCCAAGAAAACGCATCGGTTCCCGTCGAAGCTGCGAGCTAAATAAAAATTTCCGGGTTTCAAAATCTGCTCGAATTTTCGAAGTCAGGAGTCCACGATACGGCGTGAATCAATGCAAAAATTTTTCATTTATGTCAAAAACAACATTTTCAACATTTATAAAATTACTAATGAGTTTTAAGATGTACACCAAAACGGATATTAACCGCACAACCGCTAGATGTCGCATTTCTACTATTCGATTTTGAATTATTTTCTGCCATAGCAACGCAACAACACTCATATAATGGCATCCTGGTAGATTTTGATTTCAATTTCGGGCTTTCTTCATTTTTGTTCCTGGCGAGGGTTAACTTCGGGTGAGAAATGAGAATGTAAATGCTTTTGGATGTCAGAGCGAAAAAAAAATTGTTTCTCTCTCTGCAAAAGTAAATAGATTAATGCGTTATTTCGATGGACCTGTTTCTAGGAGAATGAAATATTTCAAATATTGTTTCCATTTCAACAGCCCCCCTGCTCGAGTTAATTTGCCTTGTGTTATGCGCTATTCCCAAGTAAATAAATAGGCATCCTTTAATGAGCGGAAATGTCGATTTTCGCATAATTTGCCCCGCAATGTATATATCTAAGATTCCATTTATTTCTATTTTATAATATCACTAATAATGTTACTTTGCTTTATCAAAGCAAGGAATAATGCTGACCAACAGTTGCGTTCATCCATTCTCTGAATGCCTGATTTTTTTTTTACTATGCGAGCCTTATTGCATGTTTCACAACGTTGCTATGACAACCAATAGGTTGATGCTTCCTTTTGTGATATAGTAGTTGGATGACGTCATGTATGTGTGACACCATATTTTGTAGCGATGTATAATTTTTTTGATTTAACGTTTGGAATTTTATTTTCAATCTAGTTTATAGACGATGCTGTTACATGTTTGGCCTATTACGTCATCTTGTTGTAAAGTTCACCTAATGTCGTAAACGTTTTTTTAATTTTGTTGAAATCTTGTATGGAAGTTTATACTAACAAGCTGCTGGTGTTCAAAAGTCGTTTCTCGTGAGATATGTGGTCGTACGTCTTCTACGACCACTCTCTTAATACTACTTCAATATTGTCTATATTTTTACTTTTCAAATGCCGTTGTAAATTTCGGATATTTTTCACAACCCGAGAAAAGATGATAATAAAATGTATATAGTGGTACCTGATTTTGTTTTGTTACAAAATATTGGCGAGCTCGAGTGAGTGTTCGTGTGATATTAATTATATCGCCTAAGAGTTGTATGTATTATAGAAAAAAATAGGAGGTACAGAAGTATGTGTACCAATATGGAGGTAACTAATTTTATTTGTCTACTTTACATCAAGTTGTATAAATGAACTGAATCCTATGGGCAGGGGGTATATTCACTTGGCTAACACAGACGGTCGTAATAGAACTAAAATAGGGGAAAACGGAATAAAATTATGGCCTCACCTAACCGCATGCTACGGGAGTACCAAAAGGAAAATGACTCATGTTCACGGAGCGAATTTTTTTATTTTTCTGGTATGGCATCGTACAATTATCTATTTGTACAATTTCAGTCGGCCGTGTTCAGCCTTCTCTCTACAGCCTGTTGTGGAAATATAAACCACACACAAACTAGTTTCCAACATTTTTCTCGACCCCGATTTTTGTAAATTCGAACATCACGGGTGTTTATGACCCCACATCAAAAGAAGTACAGAAATTTCAAAAATCAGTATTTCCTTTCAACTATACTTATGGAAGCAATGCGCCTGTACATCGTCATATTTTTGGAGTGTGACGATGCTTAGGTACAATCGTATGTTATCTTCGAATTTTGCTTTTTTTTTCTGCTATCATGGTATTTCCTTTTTGTTACTGGGTGAGTCAGGTTTTCTCCGTAACTACTTTCATGGCCGATCCTTGCTCCGATATAACTTTCGATTTACGATGCAAATATCCCATTGTTTATCGACGCAGCCCGGGTGGTTCAACTCCATTCGACGTGGCTGCTTGTTCCTATTCATTGAATCCTCGAAAAGAATTTTCTCGCAGACATTACACCTCGGCTTACCCATTTCTGGATTACCCATCTCTTAATTTATCTTTTTTTATTTTCAAAACTTCATTCATTTTCATTCAAGTTGATCTGCTCTATCTCTGTCTTTATATGCCTTTGACGCAGCGATCAGGGTCGCCAGACTAACTTGGTTTGTACTGAATATAAAAAAAATCGTGTAAATAATCACGTGTTTAGGGCTCCAAGGAAAAGGTGGCACCACAGAAATTTCCATACACGACCTGCGAAAGAATCCCGAGGATTGCATTAATAATAAGATGGAAAACTAATTGACCATGGCCTACTTTATATTGATTAGCGCAGAGGAGACAGAAAGGATCAAATTGATGAACCCTTATCAGTCTTAGTGTTCCTTCATTCACAGTCAGAAATTTGTTATCTTATGCGTCGCTATGATTGCATATCAACGCATTTTTTTGATAAAAAAGAGTGAACTAAAATGTAGCACAAATTTAAAAACGGGATATCACAGGCATGAATACACATGCTTGGAATCACCACAGTGTGTACAACGTAATTTTTTCGAGGTAATCTTGTCGTGGGCTACCAAGCGTGACTTTGTTAATCAAGTAAGATTCTGATCCACTCGATCCTCGTCAGTAGCGGTAGTTCAGGGGAAGCGTAGAGATATGGGCAAACATGAGGCCGAGTTCGAACCCCACAAGGTAGAGTTGTAGAGATACGCCAACGGGATAGACGGAGTTTCAGGGGTGGACCAGCAAGCAGAACAGGCAGTTGAGGGGCAATGAACAAGGTGAACAGAAGCTTCAGGTATGGGTCAGCAGGCAAGGCACGCGGCCGAGGGCATCTACCGGGGTAGGCTGAATCTCAGTGATGGACCAGCAGGCAAGGCATGGCAGACTGAGGAGCCTCAGACATGGACTAGGCCCAGTGAGAGGAGCCAGGGCTGGGTCAGCAGAAATAGAGGAAGCCAAGAGCAAGCGCGGAGAGAGGGGAGGAGCAGCAAGAGAGAAGAAGGGGAGCAAGAGAGAAGAAGGAAAGTGTAAGCAAGGGCGAAAATGGTTATGCCACGCCTACTAGAACGGCGTTTAGTGCCTAAATGGTAAAACGGCTTTTCTCTTCCTCGGGATAGGCTAAATATGTAAATCATGTCCATCATTCCCTTGAGTGAATGAATCCATAGGTTTTTTCCATGTAAAATATATGTGATCTCGGTCGATTCTATTTCAAATTATTTACAAATGTACGTAAACTTCAGACGGTCGATTCTATTTCAAATTAATTACAAATGTACGTAAACATCAGAACTGGAAAAACCACTTTAAAATTGAATTTGTGCTACATTCTTAATGAAACTGGAAATGGTTTGGCAAGGGCAAATGTCATTCGGTTTTGAATTTTCCTATAATTTTATTCTTCAGGATGGCAATTGTGTTGTTATTGCGGAATTTCTCTCTGGTATACTTCTTGAATCACAATCAGGTTTGGCGCACAGGGCAAAGCACAAAAAAATACCCTACATTGAAGTCAGGGTGGCGATAGAAGTTTCTGAGTATCTGCACACATACTGTTTCCTCTCTCGTCCGAACGCCTACAATCTAGCTCACCTAACAAGGGTTTCCTGCTGTCATAAAAATAACGAAAATAAATTAGAGTAAAGATTCAATCACATTAATGCGAGGGGTGGTTGAATTAGGATAAATACGTCATACTGTGCGGCTATCTCATTAGAGTAAATAACAGAAATATTGTCGGTATAAACATGTATAACTTCAAAATATTGTGTTTTTGGCCAACAAAAATGTAGGATTGGTATACCAGATTTTAAGTGAAGGATATAAGGGCGTACTTCAGAAAAGATTGACGAGCACTGCCCTGGCCTAGAGTGCACAGAAGCTTTTGTAGGTGGCGCCAAAGAGTTCGCGGCAGCTGTTCGTCGATTCTGTTCGGTTGTTTCGCGCTGAATCGGGTTGCCTGAATATCTTTCCACGAATGGCTAATGTCAAGCTGGGAATTGTGAGACTTGGAAGAGTTGCCGGAAAGGTGAGTCTTATGTATATGGATGATATTGTTTATAAAGTGTATAGCCCCAACATTTTTACGCCAAAGAGTGTTTTTTATTCCATATTTTTGTAGGAAAAGCACTGTTGTGATTAGGGCCTTTTTGAACCTACTGGTACCGATAGTTTTCTAAAACTAGGCCGATACCGATGTTTTCTCACCTACAAATATGGCTACAAGTAACATATTGTGTTTTTCTTGCAAAAGAATTGAAATGTTGAACTCATGCAATTGTGTGCATGGCAAGAAAGAACACATATTGTAAGGGCAGGAAGCTTATGAATCTCAATAGCTCCAGTTCAACAGTCTCAGATGTAGTTGAGCAGAGTTTTTCTGCATTGGCTCCATTGCTTTTCTGCATTGGCTCCAACCATACTTGCTCTTGTGTTTTGCTTTGAAATGGCTCTACAAATTATACCCATCTTTTTTTTTTAAATCGGCGAAACCTTTCGACTCAATAATGATAAGCATATCTAACAAATTACGCCACACGAAGTATTGCTATACTTTGCTCTGACCGCTAGAACCAGCCATCTATTGCATATCAATACAAGAAGTTAAATCGCGCCTTGAACGACCAAAGCGCAAGGGAAATCCAAGGCCGTCGTTGCGACGAGAAAACAAAAGAAATAACTGTTCGATTTTGGGTGCTCGTTTGCGCGTTTTGGATGGCAGTTCGTATAGTTTGAAGGGCTCTATTATGTCACTGTGACGTCGTAATGATGTAATTCTTGGATGGTGTAGTCAGGTGGGGGTTAGGATTGAAACATGAATACATATGTTAGGTACGAAACTACATGAGACCCCATTCCATTCTATCAAAGTGTATTTATTGATTGGGACCCACCGAGTGTTTATGTTACACAAGTTTGACGCACGAACGATACCAGTTCGTGTCTTTGTCTTTTTTATTTTGAATAAAAGTTTCTGTGTTGAATGTGGGTGAACTGACACATGTATTAAACCTTTATAAAAGTTTTGCCAGTTTCCCATATTTTCCCAATCTTTTGTGTGTTCATTGTTTGGGTTTTGTGTATGATTTTTTTGCGGGAAAATCAAAATATACTTATATAGGGTGGCTTACCCACTTTGCGGCCATGACCTATCTGCGACCATCAACTTCATCGATTAAATTAATGCCGAAAAAATTAACGAAACGCGCCGATATTTCTCACGCGTTATCGTCCACTTATCCCTCGTAGCTCTACGAAATTACACTAAAATGCGGCCACAAATAAAAAAGTTATGACCGAAAACCTGACCGAAGAAAAAAACGGACCATTTTACCATGTCGCCAACTACCCATTGTTCCTTCAAAAAAGCTTGAAAATCCATACAAATATAAGAGATAAAGAGATGAAACTTGGCAGGTGGGTAGAGTTGTGTTTCTTTTACCCATCTTTAAAGTTTCGCGTTTCTATCTTCAAAGGAGGGGGAGTAGGGGGGTGCGCATTTCCAATACGTCAATAATATCTTTGTCAACTAATTTGCGACCACCGTGTTTTTGTCTGTTTGATTGCTGTGATGCGGTGCTTTGTTTATAATTTGAAGAATTTTGTTTGAAATAATCGTGTTCTTAAAATATATGACGGTCAGAAATGCAATTAGAAGCCCATTTTTTCACGCATGGCTGCGTATGCCCTAGTCTCGACGCAGCAGAAACGATGTTCAAGGCTTGAAATCCGTGGTCGCACACTGGTCGTTCGGTCGCAAATACGTCTTCAGAGTGTCGTACTTTGGTGGTTTGTATAGCTTTAACCCCTGGTCGTAGAAAGTTAATTCGAAGTTCAGCGTGTAGAATAAATGCCAATGCACCTACGGTGAAAAAATTAACGGGTTAGAAATATTGGTTTTTGTTTTATAGCGGTTTGAATGAAATCGTCCGCAGACTGGCTACACCACCCTACCATTCTGTTTACTAATTCAGTATTTCAATATTCAAGTTCAGTACCACCGCGTTTCCCCGAAAATAAGACCTGCGGTACCCTGAAAATAAGATCTGGCCCGAATTTTAAAATGATTTTAATATAAGGCCTCCCCTTAAAATAAGACCTGGTCAATATCGCGAAATTTTTTCTGACTATGGGTATAGCATGAAATCTCGGGTCTAGTGTAGTTTCGTACCGAAAGTACTGTAAAAGCGCCTAACTTCGGACAGTTTCTAATTTAGGACAAAAATTTTAAACGACCATATCTTGTCTAAAAGGCGTCGTATCTTGCAAATTCCAATTATTATAGGTAGCGCTGTTATATATACATCTATTGTTAATTCTTTTATTGTTGCATGATTATTTTTTTGGTCAGAAAACGGGAATTTTGCCAAAAAATGACTGTCCGGTATTCAACGGCGCAGAGCGTCGCTCATACTTAAGCTATCATCGTCAAAATACCATCATTCGGTAGAGGGCGATAACAAAGTATATACATTATCAGAGTGATCGCAAGATGTTGTACAAGATTTGAATAAAACCTCTGTTCTGAATTGAAAATTCCGTAAAATTATTGAGATTCCAAGCTGTGTCAAAAGTAACGTCAATCTCATGTAGATCATTTTTTGCTCACTTCTGACACGACGCCACACTGGTCGTGGAAATGAATTTTGACGCCCGACATTGACGCCAAATTAGCATTTTCCGTTTAGATAAAGACGGCGTTCCAGTGTAATATTTTTGTATTTTGTTCGGTCCATGTGTGAATATATGCCAAAATCAACTTAATGAGAATACGCGTCTTACTCGACTTCAAAAATCGAACATATAAAAAAACTAGAAAAATCCAGTCTATATGTATACTGACTTAACAATTATTTTATGAAATCGAAATGGCAGTTATTGAATACAGCCTGGGTGAATTTTATTCACTCGAAGTGAAAAATTCATCTAATTTCAAACAAAAATCCCGCCACCTATCTCAATGTTAATTAACAAGAGTAAGTTGAAGATTAAACTTTACAATTGGGTTTGCCGTATATTTGATATCGATTTATCAGCGTAACATCAACAAAGCTATCCGTCGAGAATGATAATATTTCAAAGACTTACAATACAAGCCTGTTACAATATTTCATTATAAATTAAAACGGTTTACATCAGATATGTAGTTGGTTAATGTGGTATTATATTGATCTGAATTGACGAAAATAACGAACGAAAGATGTAAACATTATAAGACGATGAAAGTTTCAAATAATGCGTTGTCGTCGCGGCGTTGATTTTATGTTACGACGTCAATCGAGCGTCTTATCTTCACGCAATGACGTGACTAGGTCACCCGCATCGGAAGCCTCTTTCTCTCTGTGCGTTGCAGTTTTGCATTGAGGAAAATGGCTATTCGAAGTTAGGGCTGTGAAGGATAACGGTCAGATGGCAAGAAAAGTAGAATATTTCAATAGTAAAAACCCAAACCCAAAACCCAAAATTTGCAGGGAATATTGATTACTGCACGAATGTTTTACATAGCAATTTTGGCGTCGTTTGGACAATAAATGTTATTTTGTACAGTTATTGATGAAAATATGGTAATTTTGTCCGAAGTTAGGCGCTTTCATGGTACTTCTAGGGGTTGTAGCATGATAATTTATGCGTATGTTAATTTTAACCCCCACCTGACTTCGTCATCCAATAATTATCAAACTATCATCTAATACGTGCGGACGATCACTCGACATCGAGCAATCTATTTCTCTCGTTTCTATCAGTAAGTTCTTTATCATAGGTGCAAATGCCATTTCGCGCGGCCGTAGGTAACGGTATACTTTAGCAAACTCTATGGCATGATTAAGACGTTGTAATGACGTATTATATCGATGGTGTGGTCAGGTGGGGTTAGGATTGACATTTGAAAAAATAAACAGGCAACACCCATTAGAAGTACGTTAGATATGAAACTACATGAGACCCGAAATGTGAATGTTTTCAAAGAACTCAAAGCTCATTGGTTTTTAGTTATTGACAAAGCCGAGCTTTTCCTAAGGCGTTTTATGAATTTCAGACAAAATATACAATTCTGGATGAGGACGATATTTCCTTGGTGACAACATATGTGTTTGAACCTCGCATGAATATTGATCATAACGGAAACGGTGTCAGAATATTTGCGTACGCCTACAGCGTAAAACGGGGCAGAACGCATGCAAAACGTGTGCAGGACTTGCTATGGTGAGTTTTTTACTTTTATTAAAAAATCCAAATGAGTCAGAATGATTCATCAAATCCTAAATAAAAACAGAAATACCCTTCTGAATAATATCCTGTTTGGTGAGGCAGCAAAAATTGCACTTTTACCCAGAATCAGGGTAGGTGATCTCTGAGCGACGCTCAAGTGAAAAAAGTGCAATATGATCAGGATATCAGCTACGAAGTAATGAATTTAGCATAACTGTAGACAGTTATTGGGAATAAAATTAAAGTATGTAATTGTATGCAATTTGAAGCTGAAGGGGTGATGCAAAAACATGGTAGCACTCTGCAACGAATATTGTGTGATATCATAACGAGAATATCGGTTGGAGATTGAAGACTTATCGATCAAAATTTACTTACTTACTCTTACTCCATAGCGACACCGCGTGTCACATCACTAATTAATTATTAACTCTAATTATACAATTCTTCCAAAATCAATAGGCTTCTGGTCCGAGATACGATGAATGCTCTATGCAAAATTTGAAGGTGATTCAACCTCGCTTTCGTGAGATATCGCGTCAATCTAACTGACGGACAAACAGACAAACAAACAAATACCTATCAACATACTTACCGATCAAAATCGATAAGTAATTATTCTAATTTTCCAGGAATTATAAACCGCAACAAATTGTCTGATCCTCTGAGCAAGTATCCTCTCCAAACTATCTCAGTCTCAAAATTTGTTAGATATATTATGCATCTCTGTATGATCAGTCACCAGATGATCTTTCTGACCAGTCCAAAGTTATTTGAAATTATTTATATTTGATGATTAAGACTGATTTGGGGAGTAATCAATAATAGGCAGAAAGCGATTTTTGAAAAATAGTCATTTTGAGCAGTGAAAGTCTCACGATATGATACAAATTTGACTTTTGAACCAGCAAAGTCTTTGTTGGGTACTCCCGTAGTATGTGTACCAGGGTTAGGCCATGATTTTGTTCCGATTTCTCTTATTTTAGTTCTATTACGAGTTCAAGGACTATCTGTGTTAGCCAAGTAAACACGCCCCTCATAGGTTTCCCTTATTAAGCTAATAGGTTTCAGTCCCTTTACACAATTTGGTGTAAAGTAGGCGAACAAAATTAGTCACCTCCATATGGGTACACATACTCTTCTGGTTCACCTTTTGTTGTCTGTCTTGGGTGTCGCTGCTCGATAACCAGCTTTGGTTTGTGATTATCTTTCCGTTTCGTTCTCTGTGTAAAACTTACCTTTCTTACTGGTTGGAAAAAAATAAATTTGACATGTTCCGCTGAGCATGACCGAGCCCAAAACATATTGATATTCCACATAAGCTATTATTCTGAAAGTTGTGAAATTTCCAGTTGCAATCATCATTTGTTTTCCAGGGAGAAACACAGAGGAGGAATTGCTCCTGGCTTTAGTGTTGTCCATAAGAATGGCATCACTATGGATAACCGGCTCGATAATTTACAACTCATGAAGAAGAATGAACTGGAAAAAACAACATCAACCAACGTATGGTGAGGAGTTTTTTTAGAATTTGATTCGGTACTCCCGAATTATGCGAACCAAGATAGCGGACATCGGAACCTAGTATGTGTATCAGGTTAGGGTAATAATTTCAAGCACAAATAAATACTATGGGAGTCACTTGGCTAGTCTCCGAACTTGTAATAGAACTAAAATAAGAAACATTTGGACAAAATTATGGCATAACCCTAACCTGGTACACATACTACGTTCCGGTGTCCGCCATCTTGATTAACATACTTTGGGAGTACTTTTGATTACATATCTCCTTCACTCTGAACAAGACCATGTACCGAGCAATCACTGACAACTAAGAAAATAGTAATTATTAGAACGACAAAAATCTTCTTAGATTGGTACTCCCGTAGTGTGTGTACCAGGTTTGGCCATAATTTTTTTTCCGCTTTTCCTTAGTTTAGTTCCAATATGATTTCAGGTACTGTTTGTGTTCGCCAAGTGAAAATACCCCCTGCCCATAGGTTTCAGTCCCTTTACACAACTTGATGTAAAGTAGGCAAACAAAATTAGTTACCTCCATATTGGTACACATACTTTTGGAGCGCGCTTAGATCTTTATTATTACTAAAATACTTATTTATGCACACATTACAAACTACTTGACTGTACACGGGACATGCTCATAACACTATCTAAGGATCCATTAAAAATACATAAACAGTTTTTATTTCAAACAATGGAGTTCCTGATAGACGAAGTGAGGAACACTGCACTAGGCAATCATTGTCACTGCATTCTTCCAACTATTTTTCATTTAGTGTATTCCAAGCACAAATGTTCAACATTAGTATCAAAGTATTAAATTTAGCGTCTGTGAGCAAGGTCTGATCCATTGGGTGTGATGGACTGAGGCAGTAGTTCTCAACCATTTTAAAGTACTGCTCTCTTTGTTGTTTGATTCTCTTTCATTCATTCATTCCCGCTTCACTTCTAATATCAACTATGTTTCCATTATTTGTTCAATCTGTGTATTTGAGCAAATTACAATTTTGCAAAGTTTATCAGTTCACAATGTTACCATAGATATTTATCACAATAATAAATACTAAATAAGTACTCCAGGACAATTACTTTTCTGAGTGGGCCAGTTACAGATAATATACTTGGTTACTGGGCCAGGGGCTTAAAACTTAATATGGAAAAATATGAATAAATACTGTTTATTTCCAACAGCTGGGCTATCGTTTTTAATATAATAAGAAACACAATGTAACAATCGGGTCATTATGACATTATTTTATTTGACTTTTTTTCAACAACAATTTATATTCATAAAAACTATAGTTGTAATTTCAGCAAACACAAGTGGGCCGTATGAAACACTCCGGTCGTAATTTGCCCACCCCTGAACTACACAATATTAGTGAAACTACACTTTATTTCTTCCTGTTCGGCAAACCCCAATGTGTTTAATAAAACTCTTCTCTCCTACTAGTGACACATCAATTTACTACCTCGCAATCCAGCAATTGCCAAATGACCCCATCGATGAACATTTTTCCGAGCTGAACGTGACGAAATATTACGATGCTAACGGAGAATTGATCGAGGAAGGGGACGATGGGGCTACTTTCTATGAATGCCATTACCCTCCATGTACGAATATAGAACATGAGGTACGTATTTCCCTATTTGACATGATAGAGTTGGATTAATTATCGATTCTGATCTCACATGAAGCAAATAAAATGGTTTAGGAAATTGTGCCGCATAGGAAAGATCGCTGCAAGAGCATTTTGCTGTAAACAAGTATTTGTGATAAAAACAGTTAGGTTTTTGAAGAATATTTTCATTTAAAAAAGATTTGTTATTTAAGAGCATACCCTAACCATATATGGTGAAATATCCTGCAGCGAGATTTCCTACTGAGAAATTTTTGGACTCTGATCAAAATGAATTGAATAAATAGGAGGCTCTTTCCAACAAAACGTAGCAACCCTGCAATTGACTGTTTTACAAGATGATTAACACATGAGAAGATTTATTAGTTCAAATTCTTTTCGGAATAGGCAAACCATCATCTGCTACACACAGATGGGTACTATTGTAGTATGTGTACCAAGAAGCTGGACACTGGAAAGTAGTATGTGTATCGGGTTAGGGTTAAGCCCTAATTTCAGGTACAAATACTACGAGAGTCATTCAACTAGTCCCCGAACTCGTAATAGAACTAAAATAAGAAAAATTGGGTATAAAATTATGGCTTAACCCTAACCACACATCTTACGTTCTAGTGTCTCTGCCATCTTGGTTCATGTACTACAGGATGACTCACAGATGTAATAATTGTAGACCTCTCATTGGTACTTTCTACCGACTGGCAGGTGGACTTGGTGCAGCAGACTATGAGTGGGTCACATTAGAGCAGTGGTTCTTTGCAGAGCAGGGCTCCCTTTTTTAGAATTTGTCAAGCCGCGTGTCCCACCTCAAAAATAACAAGCTGACAATAAGCTACAAATAACAGATAGTTATGTTTTATTGAAAAAACACAATGAAAATATGTGGATGGAACGTAAATATACAAAATAAAGAAATGTAAATATCCAAATCTAACATATATTTGCATTTTTAATTATCGTCACTCACCTTCAAAAAATTGTCAACACCCTCATTTGGGGCTCGCCCCACCATTTGAGAACCACTGTATAAGAGTGTACCATTGCAAAAAAGTTTAACCAGCACTGCTCTAGTGACTTCATTTGTACAATTTGTTTTCTACTGATAGAAATAAACCACACATATTGTCAACTGGCCTTGACAGTTATAATTCTTGTTCAGATTCGTGAATTCAGTGTATGCGGCCACTGCCAAGAACTCAGATATTGCGGTTATGTTTGTCAACAAAAAGACTGGACAATTCATAAAAAATATTGTAGACAAAGAAAAAGGAAGTTACGGCAACGGAGTTTATCACCTGAGCGATGATACTTGGTGGCAGTAGAGATCACTTCGACTTGATACACAAACGGCTGATTTATCTAATGAAGGTTCTGCTATTGGGTGGCAGAAGACTGGTTTTAATGATACCCCATGGCTTTGAACAATTTTTCAGTCATTTTATCTATTTCAAGAGCCAAGTTTTTATAACGATTCCACCATAGATGGATCGGGAATGAATAAACAGCAGGATATGGAAGCAGCTGCGCTTCAGCACTCACTCTCCTCTTCAAATGTTTGAAACGTTTATTTATTCGATTTTGTCATTTTATTGGGCCAACTTTGGTTGGGAAATGTTACTCGGGTCTCAAAAACTTTTATGCTATGTCCACTCATGTCTTTATCTTCTAATAAGGGCCTGTCCAAGAATCCACTGATATATTATGATATTTATTGAGCTACTGTTATTGTTCTGGTGTGGCATTGCTTACCCAATTTATAACACACTTGGTGAGGTGGGGATATGGGAATTGAATCTGAGTGTAAGCTGTGATGCCAACACAGTCAAGTTGCACCCACTTCGAAACTCACTCACCTGATTATCTTAATTCCACAACTCATGTTGCCACTTCGGCACTCACTTACCTGATTATCTAATCCTACAACTCATGTTGGTGCTGCCTATTAATTGCAATAGTTTTGTATTAATTCTTTCCCACCTTCACTCTGTAAAGACGGAGCGGAATCTTCCAGTCATTCTGCTTGAGTGCTGCTTCCCGTATTTCAATATAATGGGATGCAAAACAAATCAATTACTTGCCAATAAATATGGTATATGTTGGTAGTAACTAATTTTGTTTGCCTATTTTACATCAAGTTGTGCAGGGGTTCTCAAACTTCTGGAGCCCGTGATGAGGTTGACTATTATTTATGAAGCCCCATAATAGACTTGTAAAAAATATATCCATTGGAGGTTATGGGTGATTTCATTTTTAAATTACCTCCTTGTCACTTTTTGACACTACCGTTGTCAAATTTTATTGATTCCGTTATTGATTCTTTGGACAGTTACAAAATTACCAAGTCAGTATTTTAATATGTAAACAAATAGCTTGCGGAGCCGCCAGGATTCTCTCACAGAGCCCCGAGACTCTGTATGTAGCACTTTGAGAACCTATGGTGTGAAGGGACTGAAACATATGGACAGGGGTATATTCACTTGGCTAATAGACAGTCCCCGACCTCGTGATAGAACTACAATTGGAATAAAATTATGCCCTAACCTGGTATACACACTACGGGAATACCGATTCTTTTGCTCATTCAGCTGGAAATTCAGTTTCTTATTGTGAAATGCTACTATATGTTTCAGTTCAATTGATTGTCATCATTGAGGGGCCCGAAAACACATGTTCATATACTTCTGAAATTGGTGACATTGATTTCTTATTTTTGATTTAAAAAAAAAAATTACTTGACGTAGGATGAAAATTCACCGACTCTGATGGTTGTATTGCTCCCTCCAGTCTATACCGAATAACTTTGCGCATGTTGTATATTTTTATTGTTGTTACAATGCTCGTTTTCTAGTTAACGAATAATATATCCTTCTCTCTCCCTGTATAACTCAGCAGCTAAATTTACGATTTAGTTGGCTGTTGGGTGAATATTGGCAACCTGAAGTTGCTTGTCATTAAATCGAAAGCTGTAGTCTGTACCGAATAAATTTTATTTTTGCAATGCTTAGTTTCCTGGTTGATGTCTCTTTCAAAACCGGGCTCTCAAGCTTGCTGTAGACGTCATGTAATGCAGTTAAAACATTTTAATACATTTGAAAGTATTGTATACATTGAAAGTACTTAACTGCGTGTTCTGTAATGAAATCTGTCTTAGAAAAAGGCGGGAGTTCAAATTGATCCGCAAGGTAATAAAGTATATTAAGCTGCTTGTATTTTGTATGTTTATTCGTCTCGTAATAGCGAGAAATATAAATAAATCGACAATTATTGATATTTGAGACGGGATGCATGCTTGAATGATATGAACTTCATTTTGAAAAGTCATATATTCTGTTGTAGAAATCAATCCCAACGCTTAATTATCTTCATTTCAAGTGTCGGAAACAGCACTTTATTGATGGTATGCATCGATATAGCTCCATTCATTCGACAGTTCCAGGGAACTGAATGCAATGAGCGCGGAATTCAAATCTCCAATGTATTATATCCGCCTGTAGAGTGCAAATGCTGATTTTAAGCCAATGAATCTTGACATTATCAACTTAATTATACTCTGGCTATATTAAGCGTATCGCAAGATAGAATCAATTCCGACTTTATAAAATTAGTTATTCTTCGCGCTATGTAACGGGGTGGTGGCAACGAATTGAAATTTCGCTTCATTATGTGTGTAAGGTATCCTCAAGATGGAGCTCGAGGTTAAAGTGTAGACTGTACATCGGCTGATAATTATTTTGTCAAATGAGAGAGATCAGACGTAATTTCAGTACTTTTGGGTTCGCATATATGTGTCGTTCTCTAGCCGTTTGCCAGATACTGAGGTTAGGCTTGAATTAGCGATGAATTTGTTGTTTATTGCATGAAATACGACATGTACATAACATAATCGCGCGCGAACAACGACGGTTTTTGCAATGTTTGAAACTCATATCGACTCCAATTAATAAATTTCATCCAGTATCATATACTGCCATTTGCAATGATGATACCATGATACCATACCGCCTTGCTAAGGTCTGATATTTTGATTGAATTCGTGGCCAGCAATCAGAAGAGACTTGCTTGTTATTACCCAGTGAATGCTCTTATTTCGACTAAATATTGCAGAGTAGTTGCTCATTACTGTGCGCAATTGTTTTGTTTAAGAATGCTGTTGACTTGACTGTTTAGAATTCGAAAGCTTTATCGCGCGCTGGGGAAGACATAGCAAAACAAACATAATGTCGAGGGCGTATTACCTGAAAGTTTATTTAGAGGCGTTGCGTTACGCTGTATTTAAAACAAACAAATTCAAACATGCGAATGATTAACAAACCAGTATGAATTACATGCCGTCGACATCACGTGATAACGAATTGGTATAAACGTCATATATAGGTTTTCATAAATTATTTTGGCATGCGCTATTGTCAATGAGGTGTCGGTTAACTTTGTAAGGAGTTTTCTCTTACACTTGTAAGAGAAGTTGCAAGTATTTATTTTCATGTTCCCCACAGTTGAGCTGTTAGCAAAACACAAATCAGATAGCAACGCTTCCTTGGTGGTGGGTTCCGTAGAAATCAATGACTTTTGTAATGTCTTAAATAACAAATGCATGGATGGATTACAGTAGGACTTCTACTTGCAAAATTGATTCGCTCCGGAGGCCGTTTTGTTAGCAGAGGATAATAACCTTTGTCGGTAGAAAGTTTTGTAAGTAGGGGCTCATGTTACCTATAAATGCCGTAATGCGTTCTAATCCCCCACAAAACTCGGGCATAATATTTATATAAATTATAAATAATGATTGGAACCCGCCACAAATATATGCACAAATTAGATTACTGCATAATAAATGGGAAAATGTACACATGGAAAGAAGAAGGAATCGAGAAATAACGAATAAAAACGGTATGTTGGTTTGTCTTTGGCGTTGACCGAATATAGGATAAGCGAAGACTGGTGAATGGGGGGGGGGGGGGACGTAATGTACGAAAACGAGCACCCACATGGTAAATTCAAAATTATGATTTACTTTTTTTTTCGCTTTTCGGTCTTCTATTTAATGTTTTGCTTTTTCGTTTAATATAAATTAATCAAATATCCCTGCACACGTTTTTTTCGGCCTTCCGTGTGTAGAGGTGTGTTTCGTTAGTCGAAGCAATATCTCCACTGGAAGACTTTCCGAAACTTGGAAATTTCGAAAGACCAAATGCTATAATTCTATTCATTAGTTTCGTATACCGTTCGCCTACATTTCAATTTTAATTTGCAGCACACTCTATACAGGAATTTATTCACTTTTTAATCTGATTCAAACTTTCCCATTTCCGCTTCCAAACATTCAGAATGTTTTGAAATGACGCATGCTCGCGCTATTTCTCCGAACAAGGCCAGTTAGTTGCCATTGTTAACTATAAGCGTAATTTCATCCAACCCGGTTGGCTCGTTTGGAGGTTCTGGAAGCCAGCGAATATTAACATTAAATTTTACATTTCGAAGTCCCGGCCTAGTATGCCTTCTTGCCACATTTTTTTAAAATTATATTATATTATATTTGTGTTATTTGATCGGAGGGGTTTGGCCGTATTTGCATCCGATTACAGTTATTTATTTCAAAATCGTATTTCCGTAATCGGATTACGCGCCTAATTCCAAGCAACCTGCATACTTTTGCTAATTTCCACTTCCCTTTCTTCAAGGGTCCAACTAGATAAGCCGTAACATTTTGTTTTATATTAACGTGTTTTCCCGTAAAACGTGTTATTTAGTAGTAAATGGATATCGGTTTTCATATTCTGTATACCGTATTTGCTCGTTTTGTAGCCCGGGCCCATATTTTATCAACCAACTCACCTGCGCTTGTTACAGGCGATCGTTACAATAAATAATATATTGTTATTTCCAGTTCTCAAGTATGATTTAAAATAACGAAAGTTTTGACTTTTTCTACGCACCGCAGGTACAAATCCGCAAAAGAAGAAAAGTTTTGCGACGCCCTATCAATATTGAAACGACGCACTTGTTGTGACGCCCAGTTTGAGAACCATGGTGTTGCGTAATCAGTGCTATCTGTTATGTACTTGGACGCCTAAGGCGTGAGTGATATCTACCGGCACTTAAAATTTAACAGCGTTGTGACAAAAGCGCTTTTTATTTCCTATTGTTCCCTACCACTGAAAAATCAGCTTTTACATCGGGCGGGTATTCAAGCACCGGCCCTTATTTATTTTTATGTTCTGTTCACACGGGCGGCTATTCAAATGGGCTCTTAATCAAGATCGGGCGATAAAACGAGCATATACGGTATTTGGGGAATCTCGTAATTCTCCACTTTGTAATTTTGTTTTTGATAAATGAAAATAAAAAACGTCCAAACGTCCAAAAATAAGCCGCCCTAGTGGTATTTTTCGAGAAAAAAATGAAATCGAACCGAGTCTTATTATCGGGGAAACACGGTATCATTTATTTAGGTGCTCAATTGATTATTTGTTTGGGTCAAAATCTCATTCGTCTCAGTTTTAAAAAATACTGTTATTTCCAAAGTCTGGAAAAAAATAGTTTAAAAAAGGATAGTAGTTCAAATCGTGGAATTTCACAAAATCTCTTTTTTTCATTTTAGCGGTCATGCGCGACAAAACGAAATATCGCTATCTTCCGATGACGCATATCCGCGAGATGGAGCTCGAGAATCATGTATATACTCAGCTTGCATTTGGCTTAGCCTCAAACGAAAGATATTAGAAGTAATTCATTTATTACTTTTGGGATTTGTGAATACGTGGTATCTCTAATAGTTTCCGATCATCGTTTCATATTACATTGGACGCTGAATAAACCTGGGACCTTGTCGAACTTTTAAAAAAATGTGAGTAATGATAGTTCTGAAAACTCCATAAAACTCGAATGTTACGTGTTTTCGGTTTTTTTGATACCATCGACTTGAGTGAATCTCATGCTTTTTGCAACACCCCACCACGCATCCGAACTTTGATATTAATATCGATCCATGCCCCGCAGTCAGGCCGGACTTGATAGTTGTTCCCAATCGCCCTATATGGGTACGCATGTCCTCATTTTAATGCAAGCCACAAAAAGAAATTCAAAAAATTATCCTTTTAGGTTCTAAAGACCCAACAGCATATTGTCGGTTCAGTGTTTAGCTGACAATGCCAAGAAAACAAAATGCTGACACAATATCAACTGGAAGATGTGGCAGCAGCAGAAAGGTAAGAGGAGATCGTGGTTTTTATACCTAATCAGTAATCAGTAATATATTGTTTCACCATACTGAAAAATACGAACTCTACATACACAATTTTAAAGAAAATATTAAAAAATCGCATTTCAGGGTAAAAGGAGACGCCAAAAACCAAAACTGGTTAACGAGCGGCGGCACCCTGAGAAAATCTAACGAAACGTGGTAAATACAATAAAGTATGAACAAAATAATTATGTTATTTAATAAGTAAAATAAAAAAGCAACATGTAAGTCAAGGCGATCTGGTACAAACCAAGCAGTAGTCTTTTCAAACGAAAGAAGGTAGACTACAAGCACCACAGTCTACGTAACCATGGAAATTATAGTGCAAAATAGTCTCAGTGTTGTCATGGCGAGGCAACTAGGGCTAGGGTATAGAAAAGAGCATAGAGTGTTGGATTGTGTGCATATGGTTGTCAAGGTTGAGGCAGACTGAATGTAAAAGAGCACACATATCTTGTAATATAGTGTCAACTGTACAAGTAACAAATTACTTTTATGACAGGAAGAGACTTGTATTGTTAACTCTAGCATGTTACCGGTACCCTGTACTTGCAAGGGTCTTGATTTGGGATTTGCTTGAGAAAAAACGAGGTACAAAAAATATGACTTAGCGGTGGAGCGAGTGTGATGTTCATACACCGATCTAAGCGTAAGAAAGTAAGTGTCAAAGGCTGCTGACAATCGATTGTTTTGGAATTGATGCATGATTTTAAAGACCTCTAGTCCGTGGATGTCGGACAATTTTAGCACTTTTGTTTTGTTGTATACGGTATTTAAATTAGAACAAACATGGGCTCTAGAAAGGATTCTAACAGCCCTATTTTGTAACACTTCCAATTTATGCAAGTTTGTTTAGGCTGCAGAGCCCCACGCAGATATAGCATATTGGATATGGGACTGGAAAATGGAAAAGTATATGGTTCGCAATGTTGAGTCCTGAATATATTGTCTCAGTTTTCTCAGAATCCCGGGTGATCGTGACAATTTTTTATGCAATTATACGTATTCCATTTTAGTTGAT